ATCCATACGTGTATTCCTGTAAATATACATAATTGACAAAAGCCTGGAAAATAATTTCTCTCAGACCTTCATTTTGAGCACTTGAGCTGATACCCATATCAAGTGTCACTCAATCACATTACCCCTTTTTGTCAATCATCATCACGAGAGCCCCGTCACATCCCATCAGCACTCAGGTTCCGCTACCACCGCTCATATAGTATGTATATGTTGCACTGCTTTCTCGCCGTATGTAGCCAACCGTGCTAATCGGAACTAGCATCGTGAGCCAAATGGCATGTTTTTTTTTACTTGTTCCTGTCTCTCGCTCTCCTGTGTGTGTGCATGTGAATGAATTAAAAATATATTGAATATTTTCACAACGCAGTTGGCAGGTGCACGCACGCCCATGGCTGCAGAACAATGTGGCCAATTCTTGGAAAGCTTGCGGCCAAAATCTCCGGCACAGCCTTCTTGCAGTGGTTATACCTGCACACGTGCGTGCGCACACTGCGTGGCGCGGAGGGATTCGATTTGTTTTCGAAGGTAGAAATCAATGCCTTCAATTCTGTTTGGCCGCACAGAGCCAAGAACACACAGCATGCAATATGCATGCAAATACAGATGAGAAATATATGTGCATAGAGTTGATCAAGTATGTGTGTGTACAGCGTAGTGGAATGCTTTTGGTATGAATGACGCTATATAAAATGAAAGTATTATTATTGTATCATCATCAGCAGCAGCCGTGATCAATCCACTGCTGGATGAAGGACTCCCCAAAGCCGTTACCATCTCTCTCAAATTTTAGCATTCTCAGGAAGAACGTAGTCAACCAGATAGGGTGTTGACTGTTATGTTATCCGACTCTCTGTTGTATTACATTACATTTCTAAGTATACTAGATTTGTCTTTCTATTTAATTTATACCTGATGATGATTGCTTGTGTTTCAATCGAAATGTCGTATGTTAATATTAAATTTAATTTATTATTTTAGATTTATACATGACTTTACCGAAAGAACCAAAGAATAATCTCTCACAGTGGTCTTGGCACGTAAAAAGCCATTGAGCAGCGGCACACACACGCGTCGGTCGATGTCATCGCTGCATATCCGCGACGAATGTCCTCTTCAATGAGTGTGGTGTGACCGCGTTTGGCTGTCACATCGTCGTCAGTGTTGACCACCAGCTGCTGGACTGGAAGCAAGTAGGTGTGTTTGGGCAGGGCGTGTACACTTCGTGTGTACATACAAGATGTATATGTACATGTGCCTGGACGTTTTCCACGTCTTTCTGGCTGAACACTCCCGCACCTCTCCACATCAACAAATCAACATTTTGCACGCGTTCAACTATCGTCATATAATTTCAGCGGTGACTGATAGGGTAAAGGGTTTTATTGGGTCTGAGCATACAAGGGTATTTTGAAAGATTTAATTGCCTGACTGGACAAATTAAACGCATCCTATTTGTAAATACGGAAACCATTACATGAGGAAAAATACTCAAACGCGGGGATATGCAAAAAAAAAGTTCGCGAGCTGAACCATTGAATATTTATTGCGCTGCGTTTCCGCAGAGGATATAAAAATTAACCCTACACTGTTTCTTGCATACATTATCCACGAGGTAGAATGATGTTTTACGGGCCTTTAAAATTGTCCCCCTTAATCGTTAATCAACGGTGTATTCATATTATGTTTTACTGTTAAGGCTCACGGTTGATCATCGTCAGGGGCATCTCTGCCACATTGGGGAATATTTGAGTTGTGTATTATTTTTTTTTCTTTTCTTTCTGCTTACCAGGTTAAGTGTAGTGCGTAAAATGCAGACGGTGCCTGATTGATGATTTGAATAACATCTCCTATATGGAATTTTACACACCATCGCATTCCATAAGTTATTGTCTGCATATCAACAGACACGCGTCATTTACAAACACTGCACAGTCTTCATGTCCACTGTTAGACGCGGTCCTCCACCCACGATGCGGGACGTAGGGGTTATTTGATCATACTTCCCTAAGGGACGGTCCATAAATGATGTCACGCACCTAGGGGGGGTCAGACATGTGACGATGTGTGACGAGGGGAAGGGGGGGGTTGAGAAATGTGACGTCACGTTAAAATGTGCAACTTTAAATAAATATAAACAACACGTTCTACTTAATTAAATATACTTTAAATAAATGTTTTCTCCTGCAACATCAGAGTGCAGCGCCACATTAAATAGGCACTACAATGGCAATAGCTTAAAGCGATTTGAAGCATGTTTTATTTTTTTTTGGGGGGGGGGCAGAGCTTTGTGACGTCATATTTGAGGGGGGGGGTCTGACTTTTTGTGACGCCGTGTGGCGACGGGTGGGGGGGGATCAAAAATCGTCCAAAATCGCGTGACGTCATTTATGGACGGCCCCTAAGCTGCTCAGTGGAGGTTGATGAAGGTGGGAAGCAATAGTCGTGGGAGCGAAGGCGCATAGTACAAGTATTGATTTTGTTGCAATGCCCTTTGCTTCCCACGATGAAGGCCGCGTAGACAACTCTGCAAGGTGGTCACCCTTTCAAGCATTACCCCCTGGCTCAAAACCCTGCTTAATTTTGAAAATCTGATGGGATCGGGTGTACTCCGGGCGCTTAGGTTATAGGCTCATGTCATGTATCATAAAGCAATTTTCCCACGGAGAGAGAGCAGTGGTAAAAAAAATGTGATGGATCATACGACTAAAGTTTGGAAAGCTCCTAATCTGTTGAGTGAATAGACGTGACATTGCAAGTTATCGTGTCGGTGGTCATTTTTCATTGGCGATGCCACCGAGATTGTATCGATGTCAGTCTGTGTACATCCGTCCTGTAGGGCCGGCTTAGTAAGTTATATCTTTTCCTGAACAAATCTCGCTCGTGGCAGATATATTTCACGAATGTCTCTGTTGGATTTGGGTTTATTTTGTGGTCTAAAGTCTCTCTCTCTCCCCGCAGAATATCTTTGCTCACCTTGTGATAGATATGTTTCCAACCCTCGTCATATAGTTATCACAGTTTGAGTTATTTCTGTCGACACGTGTAGAGCTTAAGTCAGTTAAGGCATTCGGATTCTTTTAAAAATGAGCAGGACATTCACAAACAGTGGATCATGGGTTTTGCGTGAAACGATTAGCACATTCCACAAAGTGTTCAACTTTGTTTGGGAAACACACAAGTTAATTCAAGCGAAACATGAGCGTCATAGGGAACCTGCCTCTTTGGTTCTTTCGTTAAAGTCACGTATAAAGAGAAAATAATGAATTAAATACTAGCATACGACGTTTCGATTGCGACACAAGCAATCATCGGGTATAAATGAAATAGAAACACAAATCTAGTATACTTAGCAATGTAATGTAATACAACAGAGAGTCTGATAACATAACAGTCCCCACCCTACCTGACTGTTATGTTATCCGACTCTCTGTTGTATTACATTACATTTCTAAGTATACTAGATTTGTGTTTCTATTTCATTTACACCTGATGATGATTGCTTGTGTTGCAATCGAAACGTCGTATGCTAGTATTTAATTCATTATTTTCTCTTTATACGTGACTTTACCGAAAGAACCAAAGAGTAATTCCTGCAGCCACGAAAGCTCCAAATTAAGTATGGGAACCTGACGTTTAATTTATAGCAAAGGGAGGAGCCCTCGGTTGAAACAGGCTCCAAGGCTCATGTGTCACGCCGGCGGATGAATTTTGTATTTCACTTGACGAACCTCACGTGAGCTGCAACGTGGCAGGTCTGTAACCTCCGGCCCGTGTGACGCGATGCTGTCCAGGTTAAGGTAACCATCTTATTTACTGCGCCTGCTCGGAGCCCTAAGAGGGTGTGGGATCCATTAAACGCGGTGCGTCACGTCGTTAAAGCTGGGCTGCCTGCAGTGCCGTTTATTTGTAACCTCAGCCGCAGTACCTTCTACGGACTAAACAGGTCGCTCGTTTCAGATTTTGCACTGCCCATTAAAAAATAATAAACGTGTTTGCACAACACGCAAGTTCAGACTCCAAATGTTCCAATTCTCTGTCTATGAATGCCTGCTCTTCATCTATAAAATGTCATCAACTGTAACTTTACTTTTTTTTAAGGATATCACCTCCATTTTTATCCTTGAACTTCAAATATTCCAGTTTTTGCACAGCATATTGATACACAGTTGCATTCGAACACCATTTAAATACAAATTGTATTGCATTTTAACGGACGTGAAATGTAAAATGTTAAACAAAATGACAAGATCACAAGCCAATGTCAAAATTATACTGAAATAATTGGGAGTCATTTGTATTCCACTTTTACAACTAATTATACTTTTACATTGCTTGTGGGGTGCTGCTGCCAACTGTTTTGCTATTTTTTAAATCTGCTCACTGCTACTCCCACTGCTAATAATCTATTGGCTCTTGGGTCATTTTGCCTCTATTACTTCTTCAATAGCACATCTTCCTTTGAATATTTTTCTCATATTCTAACGAGGAAGGTGTCCTTTAGATGGAGGTCTTCCATGGTTCACGATTTCCCTCCAGAAATGAGTAAGAAGTGCCTCTCTTCTGCTGCCCAGCGGAGGCAAGCAGCCAGTCAGCATTTCCCATAATCCATTTAAAGGTTCGACCGCTTTATTAAATCCCTGCGTATTAACGAGGCACCACGCAGATACCACAATTCTACCCGTAATGGCTACGCCAAGAACGTTTACCAGTTTGAGGATATTAAATAAATAAATAACGATTGATGTGAAGTACTATACACATCTCAAATGAATTGTGGGCGGCGTGGTGTGGTGGTGGCGGCGGGGGGGTGGAATCGGGGTCCCTCAGAGGGGTGTGTGTGTGGGGGGGTGACGGAGGCGGCGGCGTCGGCGGTGGGCTGGGCTTAAATTCTTTCAGGCTGCCCACAGCTCCTCCTCGTGCCGAGTGTTGGATTGCAGCGGATGCTGCTGCTGCTGTTCGCTACTATCCGTGCGCAGAGTGCATGCAGGGCGCGCGCGCGCGAGAGAGAGTGCGAGCGAGCGAGTGAGCGTGGGGCCCCCCTTCTCTCAAAGTGGCCACGCGTAGCTCTCCACAGGCGCGATGGTGCTGAAGTGAGTGGAGCTGGGCCGAGGGGCATGCACAGGGTAAGGCCGTCCTTCTTTTGAAATCGAAACCGCGACGATCGTTCGACGCAGCATTGATGACCGTTCCGTAAATTGTTTTGTCGCAGATATGTTTAATTTGCTTATCATGTTTTGTGCGAGCAAAGTCGGTCGGATAAGACTTCATGTAACGGTGCATAGCCTATAATTCTGAATGGGTGGTTGTGGTGTGGTTGTCCCCGTAAATAGATCTTATTATCGGCGTAGGCTCATGCAAGCCTACGCCAATAATAATGGTCCACGTGTAAGCGTGTGTGCTCAATTAGAGAGGAGAGGAAATTATGCTCACGATTTGTGTTAGTTCAGCAAATTGATTTAATTGTAGATGATACTGTCGTGCGCTTGATATACTTTGGTGAAAATATAAAAGCTTTTTTTTCCTTTTTGGTGTAAAAGGCTTCTTGCACGGCATTATTGCTTCGCGCAATGCCAGAGGGAAGTGATTGTAATGTATTTTTTCCCATTAATACATTTTGACATTTCCATATAGCTGCTTGTTAAATAAATATGTACCAGAATGATGAAATTACACAGGGCACATTTGTATGAAAATGTATTATCTCTCAGGTATTCTTATGCTTGCATATCTTTTAATTTTGCATATCTTCTGCTGGGTAGTGATAAGTAATCATTGATGCCCAGCAGGATCACCGCATCCATCCATCCATTAATTTAAACCATGTTGTTGTTGCTGTTGTTAATGTAGTGTAAAATCTGTAATTGGATTTTAATCCAGGTAAACACGGGTTGTTTCTTTTTCGTTAATCCTATTTGTATTCTCACCAAGAAAAATAATGGAGTTGTGTCAAGTTAATTTGGTCCATGTGCGCGTGTGTGTGTGGTTTTTTTTTCAGCTGCCATTGAAAATGTCATATCCTATGCGTGCGTTTATCTGGACAGATAATGCGATCAGAAGGTTGCACTGGAATTGCCGGTCAGAAGTTAAATAATCTCATCACCCCTCCAGGCTTGATAAAATTAATGCCACTTGTGCAAAATCATAAATGTTTGTCCTTGGTAGCAGCTGACCCCTCTCCAACAAAAATGTGGAATTTCCAACACTTGTTCAACGCTATAAACAGAATCGAGTACTGCCGCACGCTCGCTCGAGTAGTACAACGCTCGTGCTGTGGCAATTCCACAGCGAGGATTTTGGATTTGTGCGGGGGGGGAGGGGGGCAGTAATGTAGCGGTTATGGCGCTGCGCTACGAACCCGGCGACCCGAGTTCAATTTCCGCTCACGGCCAACACCAGTGAGGATTGTCTGAACGGGTCCTGGGCCTCCCCTAGGTCGACTCAGCTGTCAAACGAGTACCTCGTACGGTGTGTTAAAACATCGCCACTGAGGAGACAAAGGCGGTCGGGCGTGGTGTTGGCACCCACCCCATAGTGTACCGTGGCGGCCTTCATAGGTGCTCGCTAACAGCATTTACCCCAAAAGTCTTTGCTTTTGCCTTTGTGTGGACTTCACAGGACAGGAGTGAGACCGCCTGCTTCTTCCGTCTCAACCGTTGCTGCACAAGGATGGGTCGCTATTTAAGGGGCCTGTCCAGTGGAGTCGCCCGCTGGTCAGACTCGTCACCGTGGTGCTACTCGTGTCCCCCAGCAGCCTTGAGCATGGGACTCTTGCTGGTGGCTTCCTGGAGTTGTGCAACGGCGGAGCCGAGAGGTGGGTTTGCGGCACGCCTTGACCTGTCCTTGGCTCGGCGAGTGTGCTGGTCCCCGCGTGCGGACTTTAATAGACCGCCGTCAATGTTTATGGAACAGCGTGCACCTCCGCCGATTTCCTGCTGTGTATCTACAGTGCATACGCTTTTATTTTGCTCTTAATCGTTTTGCACAATCCAAATTGGTGTTCTTTTTAGTCATTATTTTTTATTTATGCAAATGCAATTGCATCAAGTTTTTACTTTAAAAAAGGCAATTCTCTCAGGTTCCCTACTGAGTGCATTTCACGTAGCATTGCACTTATTTATGAAGGTGGTTTTGATGGATTTATTTGCTCTCTTGGCGTATGTCTATCGAGGCAATATTTGTATATTTCATACCCACGTGACTTTACCGAAAGAGCCAAAGAGTATAATATTTGTGTAACTATCTGGGACTCGTCGGTTGAGTAAAGCAGCTTGCAATCACAGGTTTGCGAGTTCAAATCCTGGTCGGGGGTTCAATCCCGCCATAATTCCTCAGGGGGCCATTAAAAATTATAACACTTTTGGGGAAGTCAGCAGTGGTTGTCATATGGAAAAACTCACCCTGCCATAAGAATGTGGAGTTTACACCACCGGCTGAGGACTATAAATAGGAGATGAGTACCCGCTCACGGCTCAGGGCAGGAAATCGCTTTTTACATTTTTCTAATTATTTATAATGTCGCCACACACCGTGGCCCACGAACACACACACACACACGTAGATTTCATATTTCTTCCGTGGCATAAGCCCCTCCTTTTCTTAGGTATGGTCTACGGTGTAGTACCCTGGCTGGATGTAGTACGGCACCACACTATCTGCCCTGCGATTAGCTTGATAGAAAAAGTTACCCTTTGACCTGCTGCCCTATGATGCCTCTGGCGATGTTCCGGCTGTCCACTTTTAGCCAGGGATTAGCTACAGGAACGTAATGTATATTTCCAATCAATGTAATCTCAACAAACAAAAGCCGGCTTCGTGCAGAAAAAAAAAATCCAATAACTTGTGCAATGATTTTTAGATAAGGATTTATGTGGCGTGTACGAACCCCTTTGTGGAATTTATGGTCAGTGTGTTATGTTATTCCAATAACATAGGTGGGTCATGCAGTGGCTGTTAAGTTTTTGGTGTTGTTTATGGTGCCTCCCCATTAAATATGAGTCAATTTGTGATCAAGGCTATACCAAGTCAAGTCTGCAACTATAATAGGGACCATCCAGTGACTGACAGCTGAATAGATTTTTTTGTAATTTTTAATTGTAACGTACACTGGCTACCTGCTGCCATCACTGGATTCCAGCAAAATAGCGTGCAGAGGGCAATCATTCTTCCACGTAATAATCCATTTACTTAATGAATACATCGATAACATTTATTCAGGTAGCGTTTTATGTTTTTTTTTACGTGTGATATATGACAAATTAAACCAGGCATTCAAGTGGTAATATTTTAATCACCGTAGGATATACTATTTTTCATGTTTTATCTTAGCTTTGGAATTCCGAGGACTAACCAGACTCAACCTTGCCAAGTTTCTTAAATCTGACGAGATCCGGCACATTCAGTGTGATTTGGGCTGCAGTGTTTATACTCATAATTCTTGTGTTGGGAAGACGGACAATTCATTTTAATAATCAAATATGGTTCAATCCACTGCTGGATGAAGGCCTTTCTATAACGTTGTTATCTCTGGTTGTACTGGGTTACCACAATCCATCTCATGAACTGATCTAATCACTTAATCTTCTTTGTGGTCATCCTCTTGGCCACATTATCTCCTTTGCCTGCCATTCCATCACAAGTTGTGTCTATCGGCAGTCCATTTTTATAAATATATATAAAGCAAGGTTAGTGTGATTGCTTTAGATAAAGCCTAGAACATTGCACAAGTATGGTAGATGGATGCTTGAAACTTGTCAAAATCCATGCATTACAGAGTCCGCGTGTACGCATGTGCATTGCCGATTCACTGAGCAAATATATAAATATGAAAATAAATGATTCACATTAATTGATATTAGCATAGAACGTGCAAATATTTTATTTACACTTTTCATATACATTTCTCCAGTAAGAATTTCATGGTCTTTTTGCAATATCACACCAGCGAATGCAGAGGTAAAGTCTGTCCGAATCCCATACCTTTGGGTAGGTGGCGGTGTAGCCTTGCGTTGAGCACAGCAACCAATAATCAATTTACATGACTAACGATTCGATTCCCACAAACTGACCAATAAATCCTGCGGGGCTTTGAAGCCATTGACATGCCACCTTTTTTTGTAAAGTGGACAATAAAGACCCCAGGAAAATCGTCCATAATAGTTACCCATTGTGTACCGGTATCTGGCTAAGAAATCTCTTTTTAACAAAATTATTCACGTTTTAAATTATAAAAAAAGGAATAATTATTCTTGCATAACTATGTTATGTAGGTTTCACTGTGCCAAGGAGATAAGTTTAATGGGTTCCTTGCCATGGCCAGTTAAGCATTTACGAACATTGCGTTTCCTGAATGGCATTTGTAAAATGTATAAGCTTTAATTTAAAAAAATACGTCCAACGCAAGATTGCAGTCAATGTTAATGTGCCACAAGATAAGACTACATTTTGCATTGCGCCGCAATAAACTTGGTTGCTATTTTATTTACCAATACTGCAAATTATGTTACAGCAGACAAATGAAAAAAAGACATTACTAGAAACTCAATAGAAGAAATGTAGCCTGATTAACAAACCAAAAAATGCTGCCAATCGGAACTGAGATGTCTTGGGAGCAGCCGGCATTTAAATATCGAAGTCTTCAACGACCTACATTCGTCTTCATCTTACGGTTTTTCCGTGTTTTACTCATTCATTCGCCATTTGTCATCGGGATGTGACTATCAGCACGTCGATACAAGGAGCATTAGGTCCAACCAGTAACTGGCAGAGAATCTCCCCGGCACTGGGTTTAATTATTGGTGCAGGACACACAACAACCACCCTACACAATTGATTGACGACAGAGAGCTTGTTTATTAATAAGCAGTGCAATTTGTTGGCTCTTTGGAGAGAGAGAGAAAAAAAAAACATTTGCATTGAGTAGCATTACATCTTGAAACATGTGCAATGAATGTAGACATCTCTGGCCGTAAACATGCGAAGCATGAAATCTGTTTGCAGAGTGCTCTGTGAAGCATAGTCTTGTGGCAGTGACCTTTTACGTTAGCAGCAATAAGCAATCCTCAAGACCAGAATTTTTGGCTTCGAACTTTCCACGTGTTACAAAACAGCATGTTACATGTCACTCAAAAGCCTCTTAGGGACAGATTTTGGTCAATTGTGGCATTTTTTTTCATTCTTCACAAGGGCTTTTGAAAAATGATCAGATGCACCGTTGATGCAAAGACGTATGAGTCTCTGTGTGCTCCCTCCCACAGTGCTGATGGCCTCGTAGATCTTAATAAAGTAGAATGGGAGAAAAACACAGTAAATCAATGGAGATGCACACTGGATTAAATCATACCCTTTCTCCACGACACTACAAATTGCCAGGCACTCTTGCCCATAAATCTGCATGGCAAAGCCACCCACTCCAGTTGATGGAGCCAATTTGTCTGCCTGATGTATTTCTTCCCTAAATATGGCTTTCTCGGGTGGGGTTGGGTTTTTTTTTTTACAAGGTGACGCCATCACATCAGCGCAGAAGCTCCACTCTAATGGAAAAAGCCGTGTCGGTCGCGTCAAGTAGTTGCTGATTCAGGGTGGGTTTTTTTCCACCTTTTTCCACCACTGCCCCCCCCCCCCCAAAAAAAAGACCCCATCTACCTCCGTATAAACTCACAGTATTTTCTTTACAGTAGATAGGAGACTCACGAACGAGCACTTTCCCAACACATCACCTTAAAAGCAAGGCTAATTAATAGCCCTGAACTCTGGCATCTTCTCGGGGAGTGACGTAGGAACCTAGAGATTTCCCTGCGGCCGTGAAAACTGTAATCCTAAGCCTTCCCTCGGAATGTCTAATGCATTTCTAGACAACTGTGAAGCGTTATTTTTAAAACAAGCAAACAAAAAAAGACAGGCCGACCTGCCACTACTTTCGTCGTCTGACTAACCGGCTGCCGTTGCCGTACTGCAACGGGGTAAGTGCAATTCGGGGTTATGAACAGCTTTCGAGCATTGTGTTATTGTCCTGTAACGTCTGTTTCACACAGCGCGTGGGAATTTTTTGTTTTGTAAACAGAATAGTCGATGATGACAGAAAAACATTTCATCTTGATGTAGCTTTATATAGACCATGCATATAGGGTGGAGCGGTGGCAGAGGAGCTATCACACTGAACCATGAAGACTGTAACCTGAGTTCAATCCCCGGCAACAGATAACATCGGTGTCAAGTGCAATCTGAACCGATTTTAGGCCCTCCCTTCGTGAACCCGTACTAACCATAATAGTGAGGTATGGTTAAACAACCCAACAGCCAACTTGGCATGGGAAGGCCTTCATGCAACAGTGGAATGACAAAGGACTCTATAATATATATTGTCTTTAAAAATACATCTCATTGAGAATTCTGCGTGGCTTTGTCTAATTATATTGGGCTCAGATGAAATATACGTTAATCTGCAAGGTTGGCTGTGTTGATGTGTGCAAATAGGAACGTGCAATGACTGTGACTACATTATAATTCTGATGAGGACCAAGATCTGTGCGCTTTAGACGCGGCGCAGTTTTGAGCAATCCGGTACACTGCCTGCTGTGTTGTTTGTGAATTAAATCATGTTGTAGCCTACAGATGATTGCGCCTTGCCAGCCCTGTACTTACACAGGCAAGACAGCAGCGCGGGAGGGGTGTGTGGGTGATGGATAAAATAATGTTTACTTGCAGGAAATAAGAACGCGACAGGCAATGTCGACGTGTCGGCCCCGAGCACACACACACACCAAATCCTCCTGCAGAGATTTCCGCAGGATGTGAAAAGTGGAAATGCTGCAC